ATGAGTTTGTTTCACTTTATTTCATTGCGATCGACATTGTCGCTTTCCTGTTGCTTTATCAGTATGTACTCGCAAGTACTTGCAAATATTGAAAACAAATCATTTAAATATGTGTGCTGGCTTGGTGGCGTGTCGCTGTCAGCGTAGCCAGTTTTGCATAAATATTTGGCCAAAGTAGTAAATTCTTTGAAAAGTATTGCGCATGCGCGTTGATTTGCATGTATTTTAATATGTAGATGTACATACAATATAGTACTAAAATCATACTTTTTTATGTACGCAAAAAAGATCTTTACAAAACAGTGACTCAATAGGTTGATTAAGCTAATATATTTGCTATCGTTTGGCCAAGCTTCTTCTCCGAATTGTGATGTGCGCCTTGAAGTTTCACACAAATGTGAGGGACCTACAGTTTAACGCTGCCTCCGAATGATTGATGGTTTCAATGAAAAGGTTTTTTTTATGGCAGGAATTTATTGGAAGGTTTGCCATTGGCGGCTGAAGGAGGCATACACTTCATTCTAAGAAAATTTTACACAACCTCTTATTTGCTCACGGACTGTATCAGTCTATCGTTATCTACCAGTTTTAAAATTAATTTATCTTATAACCTTTGTGACTCGATCCACATCATTTCCGCTGTCCATCCACTGATATAAGAACAACAAATTTTTTTAAATCTCACCCTAACCTAAATGGCGCTGCCAAAATCAGAAAATGGTATAGTTGACCAGTAAGTCGCGGCAAAGAAAATTTTCACCTTAGCAGAACTCACCATCAAAATATTTAATACCACAATTTTACAGATGATTACAGACGGACGATTAAGTAGGCACTTATGTAGATATTTTTGGTTATTTTACTTCTACAGCTTAGGTTCGGATCTTAAGTCTTTTGTTATGGATGTGGTTATAACAAAAGACTTAAGGTGCGAACCTAAGCAGTTAAAGTTAGCGTAAAAATGGTAAGCACACAATTTTAGTTAGTCCAGTAGACAAAATCCGTCGAGGGCGTAAATTTCTAAAGTAAAATCTCAGCCTTTACAAAAATTACAATACTTGATGAAATGAAAAAAAAAATCCTAAGTACATGTAATACATAGCGACGACTAAATGAAGAGGTTGGATGCTACGCCTAATTATGTCGGAAAATATAATGAGGATATTCTACTCTAGCTGTCGGTGCATACATATAAGCTTAGCTTAGAATAAGGTACCTAAACACTCACCTGGAGCTGGTTCTGACCAGGCTTATGTAGGACGTAATTAAGAAGAACTTACTCGTTGAAGTGTAATCGTTATATGTCCTACTTCAAGGTGCCGTAAATGGCTTGGGGAATACATAATTTCCTGTGATGATACATATCCTCAAATATAGGGAAAACCCCTATTTTTGCACCAGAGCCGACACTGAAACTCTCGGTTCAGATTTGAATTCAGCGTATCGAAAACCGTCGGTAAAGTATATATAGGTTTCTGGTGCTGATATTTACCAAAATTCGGTCGGCTAGTACAATTGTTACTAGAAACATTCAGAAATTCAGAACAGAGCAGGTTGGATCTCGCCATACTTATAAAGTAACCGTAAATATCTGACTACGATCGGCATACACGATAACACCGGGTATGAAAACTTCAAAAAATTATTCGATGCAATGTACAAAGAGTATGGGTATCAACTTGAAGAGAAAGATCTATAGAATCAAAGAAGATTACCTCCATAAATTAATTTAAAGTCAGTGAGAATTTCCTGAAGTAGTAAAGAAACCTATTAATAAAGGCAAAGAGGATGGCAAAGTTTCATACTTAACATAATTAAAAATGTGGGGATAAATGTGCAAATGAAGAATAAAGGAAAATATAAAGATAGAAATAAAAAGTTAAATGCAAAGATAGAGATAGAAAGCAAGAGAGGCACACACAGATCGAGATAAAGATAGAGACAACGAAATTATAAAGCTCAAGAATGAGATATCTTATGTTATGGTGTGTTATGCTATGTTATGCTATGCATTTCCTCTAAAGTCACCACAGCTAATTTGTAATCACTTCATCTCCCCTGATCTCATCGCAACTAACCTCACATCAACTCCCCTCAGTTTATTTCAACTCGCCTTAATTCACCTCACCACAACTAATCTCGCTTAATCTCAACTCAATTCATCTCACGTCACTTCACCTCACGCCAATTAATGTTAGTTCACCTCAACTCACCTTATATAACCTCAACTAACCTCACATAAACTCTTCTCAGTTCACCTCAACTCATCTCGCCTCAACCCATTTCGCCTCAGTTCAATTATTAGTTAATTTAACATATTTAAGCTCATCTCACCTTAACTCACTTCAATTCAATTCACTCCACCTTAACTCAGTTCAGCTAAACTAACCTTAACTCACCTCAAATTTCCTTAATTTTAGTACTTGAATTTCAACCGCTGGGTTAATACTAGTTCTTATAAATATATAAGTTCTAAAGATACCATAAATGTTTGCGTGCTCAGTCCTATAAATAAGTGCATAACTATGGCCAATAGCGCTCCAGGGATGAGCGAAAGCGAGTGATCACTGAAGCTACAGCGTCATTGAGTTATTTAAATAATTTGTGTTTAATTAAGCTTGTCCAATAATATATTAAATTTAATTACAAATAAACACAATGTCTATGGCATGTAACTATTTAATGTTTTGTTAAAATTTTCAATGATGCAGTTGCAGAGATCAACGAAGCTTGAATTTCTGCCAACGTTCTACGATGCCAACCATCGTTGATATATGTTTGTTTGTAGTTATATGTTAGTAAGTACTCAGCTGACACTATTTTTACAATTAAGTACGTGCTATTTTCCACATATGATTTTACTACAAATTGGTCTTTTGTTTAGAGGAGTTGGCAAAAAACTAAATTTATACATTGTTGTATGCTCATAAATTTTCGTCGGTGGTATTCTTATGGGCTGGTTAGTTAGTTCGCCTCCGTTGTTGAATTACGAAATACTTAGTACAAAATATTTAAAATGTAAAAACGCACATACATACCCATAAATACTTGGATATACATGCATATGTATGCACATATGTCATATGTACAAACATACATATGTATGTATATCCACATGCATGTACTTACCTAGTAGTTTTCAACAAAAATCGTTATGTTGCTATATTCAATTAAAAATTTTTATAACATTCTGGTCTTTACACAGGCGTATACATAGCTTTTTCGTAGTTGTAACAATGATTGCGATTTTTACTGTGGTGTTGATGGTGAAGGTACATTCCGGCCGCAGGGGCACTTGATGCTGCTTAAATGCTACTTTTTTCTTTGATTTGTTGCTTTTGTTTTGGATATGATGTTGCACTGATGTCGATTGTCTGCCACTGTAACTCTAGTAATTATTTAATGATTTTATGACTGCTAGCTATTTAATGAAAAACCTTGAAGAAAATTGTGGTCTGAATGCATCATTGCAACAGCCACAGAATTGACGCCGCCGCAGCCACAGCAGCATCGGCAACAGATTAGTAACCGTCGGTGTGAATGCAAAATGTGAAGTGAGAACACATTGGCGGTAATGACAAAAACAAGAAATAAAACAGCAATGATGACACCAAATACAGATGTATGTATGTATAGGGCGATCGAACAAGACCGCAATACGACCAGTGTGGCAAGTGGCACCGTCCTGTTGAAGCCACATATTGTCCAAGTCCATGCCATCTCACTAAGGCCATAAAAAGTTTGTTATAATGTCACGATGATTTCACGGCATTATTTTCGAAAAAGTACGGTCCGATGACTCCGCCGGTATAAAAATTACAACAAATAGTTAATCGGTGTGTAGGCGAATTTGCTTGTTGGAAACATTCACAGATTGTTGAACTGACTGTCGCTCCATAACTAAGCTTGCCAAAGACTATAGTACCAATTGTCATAAAAAAAAACTTTAAAATGAGCAGGTTCGGAAGGAGCAGCAGTTGAGCGTAACCTTTGCTAGAGAAATCAGTGATCGTTGTGCGTCTTCTGAACATCTTGAAACATTAGCTGTCAAACTCTGGTTCACAACTGGTAGCTTTGCCTGCAGGGTAAGGGGGCACCAATAAACATAATAATAATAATAATAATCCCTGTGGATATAAAGCCACATTCCTAATGTAATGATTTATTGAAGCTGCCTTAGGATGAAAAAGCTAAGGTAAAGTTCTATGGAGACCCTTCTACACTTTTTACTAAGTTTAAACACTTGAATTTTAAATGATATTTTACACTTTAAAAAATACTATGAGTGTCTATGTTTATTAGTGTAAGGTACATATGCATATAAATTGAAGTGCATTTAGCTACATACAATATGTGAACAAGGAGTTCCCAAGGTCCCTTTCGTTGCTGTTTGACAGAGTTCTCGGACAAGCACATACAAACATACATACATGTACTTACAATAATACTGCACTTATGACAAATTACACATTTCCATGAAGACTTGAAGTGTGCCCAATTATCCATCAAAACTTGTACTACGTTGGCAATTTTATGCTAAAGTATATTTATGTGTATTCCAAGTTGTAAATGCAGTTTGTTTTTACTTTCCTGGTGTGAAATAAAAAAAAAAAGAATGTTATGTACATGTGTACATGTATGTATGTACATGAGGCTGTTCTAAAATGCATGTGAAAAGTGTAGTCGGAATTTTAATGCTCTCATCCCCTAGGATTCTTCTACATCGAAAAAATGTACCCCTATTTTTTTATTTCAAAATAAAAAAAATATTTAGAGTTCGCTCAAAGCGCTAAAAGTTTTCCATGTATTTTGTATGAAAAAAAACAACTTTTCGTAAAAATGCTATAGAGTACTTGAAAATCAATATTTTTCAATCGGAAAACTATGATTGGGTTCAAAAGACTTCCAGTAATAATACTCAATTATTTATTTAACCATTCTTTCATAGTAGATGCAATGGCGGGAACAATAAAAAATCTTTATTATTAAAAATGGTTAAATGAACAATTGGGTATTATTATTGGAAGCCGCTTGAAGCGAACGAGAGTTTTCCGATCTAAAAATATTGGGTTTCAAGTATTCCATACCATTTCTACGAAAAGTTGTTTTCTTTTTCATGCAAAATACATCGAAAGCTTTGAGTGCTTCTTTTAGGGCTATATTTTTTCGATATCCCAGGGGGTGGCAGCATTAAAATTATGACTTGACTTTTTTTGCCCACCCTAATGTACATACATATGTTTAATAATATACATATTTTTTGTAACTATGTACATACGTGCATAAGCATAAGATTCCTGTCATTTTCAGCAAATTTGCATTGCCATAAAGTTGAAGTGTCGTTAAGTTAAATTTGGCCAATATCCGCTGTAGTTAACCAAAACAGATCGCAAAGGAAAATTGACAAAACATTTCGTTTAAAACAAACATTTTGACAAGTAATCATATCGTATGTCTCACTTAGTGGACTTAGCACATTTACGACCAGCACTTGATCCATGGAAACTATACTACAACGATAAAGACATTCTATAGACTATACATATATACAAACATACATACATATATGTATATAAACATGCTTGCGAGTAAATTATGGTGCTCTTCAAGCGGCTTATCACCTAAGCTAAAAGCGTGTAGTACATTCATAATAACTCTGTGTGTTAAGTAAAGCACGCAGGCGTGGAAGAAGATAAACACAAACAAATTTACTTATGAGTATGAATAAACAATGCCTGCGAAAGCAATTAAGTGTTAAATTTTAGAATTGTAACAGTTGGGAAAATATTTACCAACCCATTGGCTATTCCCAACCACGAAGCCATTGATGGTTTTCGCTGTTCATAAAAACATACACACACACACACACACATATGTAAAAGCACTTAGTTGGTTAGTGTTTTGCCTTTATGTGCTAACATTTTATCCCTGACATTCTTTTGCACATAAATACAAATTCAAAAGATTCAGCATTTCTGCACTTAATTTTTCACCTTCTTGTTTCATTTCGTATTTATGGTATGTATCGACGAGTGTGTACATATATTTCTTAATCTTATTTCAATATTTGTTTTTTCTTCTCTTTTCGAATTCGCTTAAAATAAATCCAAACAACTTGTTTGTATGTATGTAGGTATGAATGTATGTTAGCATGTATAGGAAATTTAAATAAACTAAAATTTTGATGAGAACGCGAAGCTTATTAGCCGTCATTAATTTCGGCGTAAATAACCCAACTTAACTTTTTTGATATGCTAACTTAAAATAGGCCCATGAGAGTTTGTTTCCAGCGACCGGAACTAAATTTCTTTTTATAGAATTATCTACTTATGTCCATATAAAAGTATGTATATTAGGGTGGTCATTAGAAAACCAAATGCACGTTTTTTTTCAGTCCTCCGCCCTCAATCGATAATGCCACGGTCATATATATCACATATAAATTCTGGTCCCAATTGGAGACGGTTAAGGCGTGTCGCACAGGGTAAAAGTTCAGATTCCTGTATGGAGACTGAAAAAATTAAAATTATTATTATTTTTTCATCTAATACTCAAAATCGATACTACGATATTCGAAGATATAGATACATTTTGGCCCCGATTGGAGTCGGTTAAAGCGTGTCGCAAAGGGGTCAAAGGCCAGAAGCCTCTATGGAGAATCAATAATTAAAATTAGTTTCTTTTGTATTTAATACTGGAAATCAATACTACTAAAGTCGAAGATGTCGTATATAAGTTTTGGTCCCGATTGGAGTTGACAGCTTCTCATAAAAATACAATCGCCGTTCGGAGTCGGCGTAAAACTGTGTTGTTTTTATGAAAAAAAAACCCTACCAAACTGTTGAGTTGTCACTGACAATACGGAAAATGCTCACGGTGGAAAAGTGGCACTGCCATTTTTTTTGAAATAGGCCCTTATGTGACCAGTAAAGTGATCCAAAAATGTATGTAAAAAAAATAAGGTCGGATTTTTAATGCCGCCACCCCCTGGGATTGTTATATACCGAAAAAACTATATACCATATTATTTTAATTTGAAATCAAAAAATATTTAGGGGGTGCTCAAAGCGCACAAAGTTTTCCATGTATTTTATATGGAGAAAAAACAATTTTTGGTAGAAATGGTATAAAACTCTTGAAAATCAATATTTTTCGAACCGAAAACTGTGGTTCTCTTCAGGAGACTTCCAGTATTAATAGCCAATTGTTTATTTAACCATTTTTTATGATAAAAGATTTTTTATTGGTCCCCCCATTGCATTTTCTAACGGCTTTGGAGGACCTATAAAATATAGTTACCATGAAAAAATTGTTAAAAAAACAATTGAGTATTATTACTGGGAGTCTCCTGAAGATAAGTAAAGTTTTCCGATGAAAAAATATTGATTTTCAAGAATTCTACACTATTTCTACGAAAAGATGTTTTTTCTCTATATAAAATACATGGAAAACTTTGAACGCTTTGAGCACTCCCTAAATATTTTTTGATTTTAAAATAAAAAAATTGGGGTATATTTTTTTCGATATAGATTAATCCTAGGGTGTGCCGGCATTAAAACTCCGACTTTTTTGGGACCACTCTAGTGACCAGGTTAGCGTTTTTTGCGGCTAGATCTAATATTAACACGAAATATGCATTTTAATTTGTGGAATAAAATCACAAATGAAAAGGTGACCCCGTTTGATACATATTTGTTGCAAAAATGTGGAAAAAATTCAATTTTTTAAATCATCTACCTCAATGGTGTCCAACCGAGTTCGCAACGAGGTTCACTTTGAAACCATGCTATGCTTTGCGGGCAGCGACTACATTAACTTCAATCTTAATTGATCCCTATGAAACCCTTCATTTATTAATAAAATTTATACAGCTCGATAGAATAAAGGAATGCACAGAAATAAAGAACATTCGCTTTTTTTGTGACAACAACAATTTCCTCTTAATTGATAAAGCAGTGTTTCGATTATGATTCATAAATCGATTTTTTTTGGAGAAAGATAACACTGGTTCCATAGAGAACATTTTGTTACCTAAAATGCAGAGGTTTTTGCTACCTGAAATGCAAAATGCGCCTGCGGTTGGACAACACTGATCTAAATGAGAATTTTTTATATATTTCTTTATTTAATATTTGAGAATAATTTAAAACCTTTATGCCTTGAAACAAATATAAAAATGTATGTGCATTTTGATTCCTAACAACTTCGGACAAAGCATTGGGTGCATTTTGAATATTTTTTCCGCAGATTCTCTCCATTCTTATTTTAGTTCCATAGATCTAGATCATAAAAATCTTACCGGCCTGCGTACTTTTATGGACTGAACTTCTGTTCGAAGCGAACTCCTTGGAATAAATACTCAGTCGACCATTTTTGATTTGGATGATTTTTGTTTTAAGATGAACTTTGAAAAACCTTGCCATCCAGCGCCCCACAATTTTAATTTTTTAAATTTTTTTTTAATGAAAGCCCATGCCCTGTAGATTTAAATAATATAAATAAATATATTTTTTTATAAGCTTTTATCTACTTTCAAAGGCTTGTAAAAAAAATAATTACTTATTTTTTTTTATTAACTTATATGTAATAGTACGTACATCTATTCCTTTTCAAGAAATGAAGTGTTTGAGTTCTGGTATCTCCTGAGTGGTACAGAAGTGGAAAAAAGGAAAAAGTTTTGGAACATCTATTTGAGGTATTGCCAGATTTAGAAAATGTGAATACTGATAATATTGATTTGCGCATCAAAAAGATATGTAAAAGGCTTCGACGGTTTTGGGAAGAGGCTCACAGGGTAAAAGAAACCGTGAAAAGCAAGCATTCGAGTGACAGAAACTGTATTTTTACCAAAACATGCTACCAAATTGCAGCCTGCATCAACATGTGAATAGCCTGAAGATAAAAGCCAAGGTGGCAGATCACTCCTTGCGCTGCCCGTGCGATATGCCGCATAAAAATCGCCACCATTGAAAGGATAAGAATAGCGGCATAGGAATGTCCGGACATTTTATTTAAAAAAATTCTTCACCGAATTTTATGTTTTATAATAATTCCTAGTGAAGTTTGAAGTCATATATTTAAGAATAGGATCACATAATAAGATCCCGTGATGATTCTTCATATGAGCTTTGGTATTATTCTACCAACGTCTTTTGAATAACACATACTTAAGCAAATAGTAATATATTGACTAAGATTTTGAAATTCATTTATTTGTTCGTCACTCATTCTGAAATGCTGAAGTCAAATTTATAAAGACAAGTATGTATGTACATATGTACATATATAAAAATTCACAAACAGAATAAATGTCGCAATATAAAAAAAAAGTTTATATGCATCTAAGTTGAAAAATACCAATGACCAAAAAGTTGTTAAGCAATTCATAAACCATTAACCAAATTTATTTTCTTGGTGGCTCGTACGCTACCGGATTGCACTGATTTCATGGCACCAAAAATACCTACAATAATATTTAGCACACTTCTGCAACTTAAAACCTGATTTTTTGCGAAAAGTGTTTCATGTTATGCACAGTACAATGGAATACAAGCAGCAAAATAAGTCGAAAATGATCACTAGCACATTGCCGCATCTTCATGCCAACAACAATAACAAATTGTTTAACATGATCAACTTGACCGCACTAAGTCGCCCCTAAGAAGCCCAAGATACTACACCACTATGCTTTGTTATCAACGTCAACGTCAACGTCAACGCCAACGTCAACACCAATACGACCACCGACACTGCAACTGATACAATAACAACAATAGATACACCTGACTTGTGAAGTGATATCTACGGCTAGGCGTAAACCCCCTAACTCAGCCGATTGAGTTGTCGACCAACTTACCACTGCCATCACCACTACCACAACAACCACTTGAGTATAAGCGCTTGACACAACAACAACAACACATAACAAAAACTTCTCGACCGATACACATCCATACATACTCATCGTAGATTAGGCGATCAGCGAACAAGCGATCGGATCGAGCAACAATAGAAGAGCGTTCCGAATTAGCAGCAATCATTAAGCGTATGTATGTATGCATGTACCAACAAGAACTACAAATTCTACACAACATTCGAGAATACAAACA